AAAATAATAATAGGTAAGAAGAAGAAACAGAGCAGTTTCAATAGGGACCTCCAGCGGTCGCTGGCTCGGTCCCTAAAAACAAAAGAAAAATAGAGTGGAAAAGCTGACCCTCCGTAGATCAGATGAAACTAGGTCTCAGCTCTCAGAGGATGTTGTGCTCTATAATGTCCGCCCACATAAAGTGCTGTGAACACCTGGGCAGGAAGAATGGTTCATGTTCTCCTGGAGAACACACACACATACATATACATTCAACATACACTTCTATACCCTTTTTTCGTGGACTTTCTCTCCCTCTCAGATTTTCCTCTCTTTCTCTTCCCTTCCCTCCTTTTCCCTTCTGTCTTTTTGCTTGTTTATCTTTTTACCGGCTCCTCTCTTTTTCTGTCTTTATTCCTCTTTCTTTTACTTTTGAAACCTTTGTGTGTCTCTCGATTCTTACCCAGTCCTCATTTTTTACCTCCATCACAATTCTTTCACTCTATTTTCTCTTAATTTCCTAATTTCTCAAGCTGTCTGTTTATTTCTCTCCCTCTGTACTTTCTCTGTAAGTTTGGTAAGTTTGTTTCAGTAGGCTTTATTTTACAGAACTTGTAAATTCTGAAAGATGAACGATATGGGAGGTATGGGTGTGTGTAAGCAATTACAACTCACATTATTGTTCAGTTGCTCAGAGACTGCCACAGTGCTGCGTTCACACTGCAGCTGAAAGTTGCCCAAAAGTACTTTGATCTTGTCATTGACTGATAGTTGAAGTTGAACTAGTAGCAGGTTAGCGGATATGTATGCATTTTTCCCCTTTTTTCCTAGTCTTTTCAGTACATGCCGGTTGATTCAGAAGGATGAGCTGTACTATATACTATGTGAACAGTCAGAAATTACACAGCAGTGTGAACACAGCCTGACAGAGAGAGGGGCATTAGAAAGAGAGACTGCTCTCTCTCTTTTTCTGTTTTACTGTGGCTCACTTGCTCTCTAGCTCACACACGCACGTGTGTGTGTGTCACGTGTGACCGGTGTTGTGTGTGTGCAGTGTGGAGGACATGGAGCAGCAGAAGAAGCAGGACAGCGACTCAGGAGTCGGCAGCGACAACGGAGACAAGAGACTGTCTGCTACTGAGGTACTGAGTGTGTGTGTGTGTAATGGTGTGTGTGAGATTCTGTGTGTGTATGTCCTTTTGTGTAATTGTCTCTATATGCTGTGTTGTCTCACCTTTAGAAAACCTCTCCTTTGCTGTCTCTTCCGATCTCCAGGAGCTCAGCTCTCTTTTAACATCATTTTATTCTTTCATGTGTACTGCATCATTATATTTAAAATAATTCGTTGGACACTGAAAACTCCACCTTACACAAGTACATAACAGCTGATTATTTTTGTTAAATGATAACAGAAAAGGCAGTAATAATCCTGAATGTGTCAGAAATACCACGCTTTTAATTTATTTCAACACAGTTGTTCCAAACACGGACTGAATCGCTGCCAACTTGACTAAAACAAATACTGGCAGACTTATTAATTTGATATAATTAATCAACTCGCTACAAACTCACTCCTCCCCTCTCCTGTCCCTTCCCGAACCGGCTGTGTCTAGTCCTAGTCGGAGCTGCTGTAAATCACCTGGCCTCTGATGGTGTCAGAGTAGCTCCGAGTGGTGTAAACCAATCTCCCCTGCTACTTTGAGTTTGCAGTCCAGGTACAGTCAGCTGATAAGACCACAAGCAGACTGGTAGCAGCTCGTACAGTTATGCAGTGCTGTATTACAAGAGAAAAGGTCTGTGTTGCAACAGTCCCCTGATACTTAACAAAATGTTTCACTTTTTTTTTTTCTGCAAATATCCAACTAATGAAAAGTGCTTCGACTAAGACTCTTCACATCGACAGTTTACTCAACTACATTTGTTTCTCACTGAATTAAATTGTTTACATTTTACATCAGCAGTATCAATAAATATGACGTTAGAAAGCTGTTTGGAGCTGCAGCTAATACTTTTTTTATTATTGATTAATCTGTCAATTAATTCATCAATTATCTGATGAATTAATAATAATAACTAATAATAAATAATAGTCTAAATCATATAATGTCAAAAATTAAATGAAAAATGGCCATTACAATTTCCTGGAGCCCAATGTAATGTCTTTTTGTGTCTGTCTCAGTTTACAAGGATATCAAACAGCAGAACAGCAAATCCTCACACTGGAGAAGCTTGCAACACAGAATGCTAATACATGACTATAATGATGAATTAATTATTTTGGTTGTTGATCAGCTGATCAGTTTGTTGTTGTTGTTGTTTGTTGCAGCCATCAGATGAAGACAGCCTGAGTTTCAACGTGCCGATGAGTCACATCACGGAGGAGGAGGGAATCAGTAAAGAGGACTCGAGTGAACACATCTGCTCCCTAACAGGTACACACAGACACACAGACACAGCTGATAGTAGACAGGACGTGGTGGTGATTGAACAACACTGTTTCTCTCACAGGACACAACAGAGGAAACTTGACAGCACAGACACAGGCTGAATGTTTACATTTGAATAGTAAATCTGTGTCTTCACAGCACACTATACTGTGTGTGTGTGTGTGTGTGTGTTTAGTAAAAGTCATTTTACAGTGAAATAGAAAAAACAAAAACAGCAAGCTAGATAATGTTTGGCATCTGTGCTTGATGAATGACTAATGACAATTCAATTCAATTCAATTTTATTTGTATAGCGCCAATTCATAACAGAAGTTATCTCAGGACATTATATAACATTATTTACAGAGACCCAACAGTACACTAACTATAAGCTTTATCAAAGAGGAACGTCTTAAGCCTACTCTTGAATGTGGAGAGGGTGTCTGCCTCCCGAACCACAACTGGAAGCTGGTTCCACAGGAGAGGAGCTTGGTAACTGAAGGC